GTAAGTTCCGGAAAAGGGTGTTGTTGTTGTGATTGTTATTATTATAATTGTTATTATTATTGTTATTATTATTGTTAACATTATTATTATTATTGTTGTTGTTGTTGTTGTTATCATTATTATTGTTATCATTATTATTATTATTATTATTATTATTATCATCATCATTATTATCATCATTAACTATTCCCAAAGTACCATGTCCCACCCCCTGACCCACCCACTCCCAACCCACTATCCCCCACCCTCTCCCACCCCACCCCACCCCACTCCCAACCCACTCCCTCCCAACCCACCCATCCAACCAACCCCATCACCCCCTTTCAACCCCACTCCACCCCACTCCACCCCACCCCACTCTCAACCCACCCCCTCACCCCACTCTCAACCCACCCCCTCACCCCACTCTCAACCCACCCCCTCACCCCCCTCTCTTAGATGTTTAATCAACCTTTCAAGAGATCAGGATTGGAAAGACCGGCCGTTCCGCTCTCGTCACGGAATCGGCGTCGGGAGGGATCGGGGGAAATTAGTTGCGCGGCGATGCAGAGTTTTAATGTTTGTTTGTTTTTGTTTTTTTTGGTTTAGTTGGTTGGTTTGGTTGGTTCGTTTGTTTGGTTTGGTTTGTTTGTTTGTTTGGTTTGTTTGTTTGTTTGTGTGTTTGGTTGGTTCGATTCCTTTTCTTGTTTTTGTTTGTTTGATTGTTTTTTGTGTTTGTTTGTTTGTTTGGTTGTTTGTTTGCTTGCTTGTTGGGGGAGGAAGGTTGGGTGATTTCTTCTTTGTTGTTCTTTGTTGTTTTTTAGTTGGGTTTTTAATATTTTTTTCTATCTCCTTTTTTATCTATTTTCTTGATGGTTTGTGTGGACTTTCGTTATTGTAAGTAAAGGTGAAGAACAAATAAAATAGATAAATAGATAGATAGTCGTCTCAGTGACGTAAATGGTAAAAGTAAATAGTAAAGAATAAAGAGGCTCATTGAAAGGCAAAAAAAGGCGAAAAAATTGTGTCTCATTTAAAAGGCAAAGGAGAAAAATGTCCAGAGAATAAAAGATTAGAATAAAAAAGAATAAAAAAATGTTAAGAAAAATAAATAAGATATAAAAAAGATGTCTCAACAAAAAGAAAAAAAATCCCAACAAAAGACATTTTTTAATGTAAATGTCCCAACAAAATCCAAAACATCTAATAAAAATAAAAAAAATAAAAATAAAAGCGGACGCGAAAATGACGAATTAAGGTCATTAGTCAGAGAGCATTAGCGGAGAAGCTTTTTTTTATTGACTTTTTTTTCACTTTTTTATCTTTTTTTGGCGAATAAAAGCCGTTGGATTAGGACTTGTAATAACAGGTCATTAGCATAGTCAGCAATGTGATAGCGATGAGGAGGGGGTGGTGTGGGGGGGGTAGGGGAATGGGGTAGGGGGGTAGGGGGGGAAGGGAGCGGGGGGAAGGGAGGAGGGGAGGAGGGAAGTTGGTTGGGAAGCCTAGAAGCTAATTTGTTTGTTTGCATGTGATCTGAAGTTATTATTATTATTGTTATAATTATTATTATTATTATCATTATTATTACCATTATTATTATTGTATATATCTATATTTATTTATATGTTTGTGTTTATGTGTGTACGTGTTTGTATGTGTGTGTTTAAGTGCATGTGTGTTTTTACTATGTTCGTACATATTACCTTATCTGTATAGTATTTTTATCCTTTGATTTATATATCTATCTATTTGTTGATCAACATTAAGCCCGTGTTTCCGAGAGCAAGAGCTGAGAGCGAAGCGAAAGGTCAGACTGCTGGAAATGAAAGATTTATCCAGCTCATTTTACGCCGAAAATAAAAGAAAAGAAAGAAAAAAAAACGAAAAAAAAAAAAAATGAGATTCGACTTTTTTTCTCGTGGTTCCCGTTTTCAATGAATCGAAGTTCGCTGTCTCTCGACAAAACTATTTTTTTTCTTTTTTTTTATTAATATTTAATCTACAATTTTCACATTGGGGAAGTCGTCTCTTCATCTCCTCCCTCTTCTTCTTCTTCTTCTTCAAAAGAAAAAAATAAATAATGAAAATATAATCAAGATATGACGAAAACCTTAACGGAGATCAAACCGAAAATCTGGAAATTTTTCGAGAAAGAGAAAAAAAAGAAAAAAAAATGCGATATATTAACCTTCCCACGCGGACCGCCACCGCACCGGATGGTCGACGATCTCATTCAAATACAATGGTGCCGGCGCCCGTCTCGACACCCAAGCCGAGAGGTTCCGCCATTCATTTTTCACTCCTGAGTTCTGCTACTGCTGCCCTCAGCGTTTAAAAGATACAAGAGACCTTATTCTTTGGGCGGTGGGGGAGGGGGGGGAGGGGGAGGAGGGAGGGGTGGTGGTGGTGGTGGTGGTGGAAAGGAGGGAGAGGGGAAGGAGGGAGAGGGAGAGGGAGAGGGGAAGGAATGAGAGGGAGAGGGAGAGGGAGATGGGAAGGAAGGAAGGAGAGGGAGAGGGGAAGGGAGGGAGAGGGAAAAGGGAAGGAGGGAGAGGGAGAAGGGAAGGAGGGAGAGGGAGAGGGGAAGGAGGGAGAAAGAGAGAGAGAGGGGAAGGAGGGAGAGGGAGAGGGGAAGGAGGGAGAGGGAGAGGGAGAGGGGAAGGAGGGAGAGGGAGAGGAGAAGGAAGGAGTGGGAGAGGGAGAGGGGAAGGAGGGAGAAAGAGAGAGAGAGGGGAAGGAGGGAGAGGGAGAGGGGAAGGAGGGAGAGGGAGAGGGAGAGGGGAAGGAGGGAGAGGGAGAGGAGAAGGAAGGAGTGGGAGAGGGAGAGGGGAAGGGGGAGGGGGAGGAAGGAGAGGGAGAGGGAAAGGGAAAGGAGGAGGGAGAGGGAGAGGGGAAGGAGGGAGAGGGAGAGGGGAAGGAGGGAGAGGGAGGAGGAGGGAGAAAGGTGAAGTGGGGAGAGAAGGGGAGGAAGAGGAGGAATAGGGAGAAAAAGGAGGAGAAGGAGGAAGAGAGGGATAGGGAGAGAAGAGGAGGAGAAGGAAGAGGGAAGAGGGAGGAAGAGGAGCCTGGGGATAGAAAGGAGGAGGAAGAGGGAAGAAAGTGAGAGAGAAGAGAAGGGAGAGAGGGGAAAAGAAGGGGGAGAGGGAAAAGAAAGGAAAGAAGAAGGGGAAGAAGAAAAAAGAGGATAAAAAGAAAGAGGAAGAGGAGGAAAGAAGAAAAAATATGAAAGAAGAGAAGCAGAAGAAAGAAAAAAAAGAAAGAGCAAAGAAATTAAACCAAAATACGGAATACGAAAAGAGAGAAAAAAAAGTAAAAAAAAAAAAAAGAAAAAAAAGAAAAAGAAGGACAGGAGAGGAGAGGCGAGGTAAGTTCAAAGGCCACAAATCACGCGCTCTTCGGCCACAACCACGCCACGAGGACACCTTAAATCACGAAGCCAGCATCTTCATCACTGTCGCAGGATATTCAATCACGCGGCGGCGCCGACTCTGACGGACCTGGTCCACGCCGGGATGGATCCACGGCGATTTCTTCTTCTTCTTCTTCTTCTTCTTCTTCTTCTTTTTCCTCTTCGTTTTTCTTCTTCTTCTTCTTATTCTTATTCTTCCTCTTCTTTTTCTTCTCCTTTTTTTTTGTTCTTCGCCTTCTTCATTTTCTTCTTCTTTTTTCTTTTTCTTCTTTTTTTCTCTTCTTCTTCTTCTTTTTATTTTTCTTCTTCTTCTTCTTCTTCTTCTTCTTCTTCTTCTTCTTCTTCTTCTTCCTCTTTTTCTTCTTCTTCTTCTTCTCCTTCTTCTTCTTTTTCTTCTTCTTCGCCTTCTTTTTCTTCTTCTTCTTCTTCTTCTTCTTCGTCTTCTTTCTTTCTTTCTTTCTTTTTTTCTTTTCTTTTCCTTTTTTGTAGAGGGGTAGGGAGGATGGGGGTTAACAGAGAGAGAGAGAGAGAGAGAGAGAGAGAGAGAGAGAGAGAGAGAGAGAGAGAGAGAGAGAGAGAGAGAGAGAGAGAAAGAGAGAGAGGATGGGTGGGGAAAAGAGAAGAGAAAGGAAATGGGGACAAATAAAGAGAGAAAGAGAAGGGAAGAGATAGAAAGAGAGAGAGAGAGAAAGAAAGAAAGAGAGAGGCAGACAGAAAGACAGACAAACAGACAGACAGACAGACAAAATAGACGTTCACAGATTTAAAAACAAAATTATTATCACCGTCGATGTCAGGCTCTCCAGCGTGGGCGTTCACGTAGGCGACAGATTTTTTCTGAAATAAACTGATAACCATACACGTGGGCGGCTTCACGTTCTATTCTCTTTAAAAAGAAATTAGCAAAAAAAACAAAAAAAAACATGTGACAAGAAAACAGGAAAAAAAGGAAAGACCGAAAAAAAAATAGAAGGAAATTAAATACCCCTGGTGTGACATCTTTCAAAGTGAGGCAAAAATTATGCGACAAAAAGAAATAGAAAAAAGAAAAAAATGAAAATATATATTACAAAGATAATTAGCGCTGGTGTAATATCTTTCAAAATGAGTAAAAAAAATTATGAGGCAAACAAACGAAAAGAAAAGAAATAAATAAATACCACTGGCTTATATCCAATATAAATTCGTCCTCCTTCAATAAATAAATAACTAAATAAATAAATGAATAAAAACTGAAAATAAAACTAACACTAAAACTATCCCCAAAAAATAACGAGAAGAGAGAAAAAGAAAGAAAGAAAAAAACGAAAATATCTCTCTCTTCACCACGAAAACATAACGATTTGCACAGCCACGCAAGACGGAAATCTTCAGTAGCCGGAGCGCCGACTCACGCCCATAGAGAACCGCGGGGGACGAGGTTTGTGGGTGAGAAGCTGTGTGGGGGTGGGGTGGGGGAGGGGGAGGAAGAAGGGGGAATGGGGGAAGAGGTGGGAGGAGGAAAGGGGAAGGGGAGGGAGGGAGAGGTGGGAGGAGGAGGAAGGGGGAGGGAGAGAGAGGTGGGGAAGGGATGGAAGGAGGATGGGGGAAGGGAGGGAAAGGTGGGAGG